GCCCTCGGTGCCCGGGCGCGCACGGGGCGGCATCGCGGTCGCGCGGGGCTCGCGGGGCGCCGGGAGCCGCGTCTCGGTTGGGGCGGCTCTGAGGGAGCCCGGGGAGGAGCTGATTGAAGTGCAGGGTGAGTTGCCTCCACGCTGCCTCTCGCACCCTCGCCGGGGCGCCGGCTTCCCCCCTTCCGAGCCCCCCCGCCCCGCCGCCAGCCCCGTGTCCGTGCCCATATCCGTGCCGTTGCTTCGCCGCACGGACGCGCGTGTCCCGCGGGGCCGTGACAGGCGCTCGGGCAGCGCGCGCTGCCGCCCGCCCCTCGGCCGGCCGCGAGCGCCCAGCAGCAGCAGCCGCAGCCTCCGCCGCTCTGCGACCGAGGCAAGCGGGGCAAGCACCGTGTCATCCCGCTGCGCCCCTTCCGCAGCCTCTTCCCGGGCGCTGGAGCCGGCTGCCCAGCGGCACTGACTGCGGTAGCGGCAGTGCCCGGGGTGGCGCCTTGCAAGCGGGTCCCGCATCTGCAGCACCCGGGCGAGCAGCGCCGGGCGCCACCTCATCGAGCTGTTGTTGATGTCTCCTTCAGGCCTGAAATTCCTCTCGCTAGTCTTCCGTTCTGTTAAATGCCTCCAAACCAGAGCAAAGGAAGAGACGTGAAGAGTTGAATTTCACTGCCTTGTTTGGAACTGGGTGGAAATCCTGGAGATGGATCTCTTAGGAGACTGTCTTCCATTTGGGTTAGATGCACAGGTAACAAGTAAAGGGACTCATGGCTTTTTTTTTTTTTTTTTTTTTTTTTGTAAATCTGCTTCTAATTACTGTATGTTTGCAAAGAGCTCTGAAATTCTGATTTAGCACTTGATGTGGTTTTGTTGATGGTGGGTTTTTTTTCTTCTTTCCACCATCTCTTTTTGTCCAATTTTGTGCAGTAACAGAGCTCAGGAGGGTTCATAGTGACCACTTTGGAAGCCCTGCTTTAAAAACTGACACCAGCAATCTTTTTTCTTTACTAGTAGGGTGAACCAATAATGCAGATTTACTTTAGAGTAAGAGGGGTAATGAAGCAATTGGGTTGCCAAGTTTGGGATATTTTGTTATTTGAGGTGAGAGAAGAAATGAGAACCTGAAGGGAAATGTGGTCCTTTCTGAGGGGAAAAAGTTCAGCAGATTCCGTGTTGTCTGGCCCAGCGCTCCAGGACTTCCCCCAAAGTCCTGCTCTCCATCACTGAGTCGCTCTCCTCTCCTGTTCATGCAGATGGGCAGCACTGGGAGGGAAGCGGGCATGCAAGAAAGAGCTGTGCTTTCCTGCTGAAGTGGAAGGCGTTCTCTTCTGGGCTGCATTCCTGTTGTGTCTTAGCTGTTTCCTCAAATGTCCTTTTATTGCAGGAGCAATGGATCGCCCCAGCTACATGGAAGAGGACTATTCTAGCCTGGATGGGCTGGACGATGACGTGTTTCACTCTGATGACTTTGGACTTGCAGGTCAGCCTGGTGAGATGACTGCAACTGGCTTTTTCACACAGAACCAAACCTGCCTTCGGAGGTTTCAACTATTCCCCCTCACACACTGCTGTGGTCCCGGTAGCAGGCATCCCGAGCAGCAGGACAAGGCAACTCAAACACTCAGCCCGTCCTCTTCCAGTCAGGATGTTATGTTGCCTTGTGGAGTCACTGAAGAGCCCCGGAGACTCTTCTATGGTAAGAGCACTCCAGTGTCACCAGCTTTGCAGAAAGCAAACTGTCCATTTAGCACTTCCCTGCTCGGGCCAAGATTCTTTCATTAGGGTGTTTAATTAAAGGACTCCAGTTGTTTTGCTGTGGTCCTGTACCATGGGGAAGAGAGCTTATGCTTTCCAGCCCTTAGCAGCCCATTGTAGGAAGCAGGCACTTGCTCATTGCTTCAGCTGTCTTTAATGCTTTTCTGGTTCTGTTCTCTTTATTTTACTGATAGACATTTAAGTGCTCATCAAGCCTCGTATCATGCCATTTGCCTGTATCTTCTTAACCTCTTGTGCTGTCTTTTCCACATAAGAAGACTCCTAGAAAGTATCAGTGGAGAGAAGGAAATGTAAAAGTTCACACTTCGTGGGACAGCTTTTAGGCTCTTTCCTGAGATAAAAGTTGTTGGATAAGTAGGATGTCTGTCCAGTGATTTACTAGTAACTGAAGGGACACCACTCAGTTTTATGTATCCAGTTCAACTGCAGTCCCGCTATCCATTCAAAGCAGTCCCAGTAAATCCCAGAAAACTGAGAAAGTCTGACAGAAAGGATACAGCAACTTTTAATGGGAGACTACTTGAGACAGAGATATTGTTAAACTGTAAAATTGTCATTAAAAAGAATCTCGCTACTTGGCTGAACTATGAATGAGCAAAAACAACCGAGTGTAAGATCTTGCCAGCTGTTTGATTATAGGAAGAAACAAGTGTTCTGTTTAATCAATATAAAGATACTTAAAAGCTGAGTGAATATTTTGCTGCATGCTTAGACTGCATAGTCATTATTCAGCTTCAGAAGCTGGGCTTCAGAAGCTGGACTTCATCCTGAGTCACAAACTTAGGGTTGTACGCAGCCCTTTCTTCCAGTACACTTCATGGAAGAAGTCTTTGTGCTGGAAGAATGACACCTCTTACGCCTGTTTTGTAGGGAATGCTGGCTACCGTTTACACGTTCCTCCAGTTGGCTTTGCATTGGATCCCCGTCTCCAAGAGCAGCCTCAGGAAGCCCAGCGGGAAGCCCGTGCCGAGGTGCAGATTGCACGGAAGCTGCAGTGCATTGCAGACCAGTTCCACCGGCTCCACATACAGCGGGTAGGGCGCTGCTGGGGGGAAGGTGGCGAGTTGTTTATCCTGGAGCGGTGCTTTAAAAAGGCTGGCTCCAGGCATTGGCTAAGCAGGCTGTCATCTGAGGCAGCAGGCTGCCAGCAGCAGTAAAATGTATGGGGTGCCACTGTGTATTTTGTTTATGCTGGATTGATGACTCTTCCTAAAGATAGATGGAAAGAGGGAAGAGGACATATGGGGTTGCATTTACTGCTTGGCAAAGTAGCCCGTTTGACATTTGCGGTTGCTCTTCCAGCTCTTGCAGTTGATCAGTGACAGGATTGCTGAAACTTTCTCCAGGGCTCTCCCCTTGGCTTTGTGTCACAGCGTTTACTCTTCTCTACTCTCTTCACTCTCGGCATCTTCTCTTCTGTAGCACAAGTGGCCCTTTCTGGCTTATCTCAGCTCCTCATCTTGGCAGTGGCAAGAAGCCTAGAGTCTGCTTTGATGCTCTGTATTGTCTAGGGGTAGTAGTCTCCAGTGCTGAGAAGTATATTTAGATCATGCTAGACTGGCTAGCAACTCTTCTCTGAGACAGTCCTAGTTAGTGTGTCTCAGACTTGTGACTAACTTCCTCACAACAAAAGACAGCTGTAAGATGCCATCAGGTTTGAAAACCACACTCCAGAATCTTATTTTTGTTTTCTTTAAAAAAGAAGAAACTGTTCTTTTCAAAGAAACAAAGCAAAAACAACACCCCTTAAACCCCCAGTTCTTCCTTCCTTGCCCTAATTCCCTTGTTGAATAGTGAAGAAATGTAAGTTCCAGCTTGTGCAGAGTTTGGCAGTCTAAAGTGCAGTTCAAGGAACTCTTTTTCTATGCAAAAAACCCCTTTTTTTATGCAAACCCAACAAGGAGAGGTGTATCCACTTGCTTGTGAAGAAGCTGGCACTCTTGCTGACTTCAGAGAGTCACAGAAAGCTCACTCTCCGAGTGACTTTCTCTGGACTTTGATACTCTGTTAGCTATGGGCTCTGTTGCAGTCCTTCTCAGAGGTAAGTGAGGAACTCTGTCCCAGTTGGAGAATATTGGCTTGTGGCTGGTCAGGATTTTGGTCTCCTCTTTGGCATGGAAGAGATGACAGAGTTCTGAGACTCCAGAACTGCTGGGTATCCTCAAGCAGCAGAGGGATTAAAGGAGCTATAGCAGGAAGTTTATCTGTAGAAATGCAGGTTGTTTTGGGCTATGAATGCCATTCTGCAAACCTGAGAAACAACAGTCTCCCGTGAGCTTTTTAGTATATGTTGTGCTCAGTTGAGTGGGGTTTTCCCCACTGCTGCATTTTCGCCAGCAAGAGCTGAGGGCTATGCGCTGCATAGCCAGATTCTCGCAGCAAAGGCAAGGGTAGCCCTCCCTGCCAGAAGCCCTCGTGTGAAGCTGCGGAACTGGTTGTAACTTGACCCCTTTCATGTGGGGAGCGCACCTCTCTCGTGTCTGGGAAAAGCGTCCAAGAACGCCCCCCGAAAAGGCCTGCTAGAAACCCGCCCTCACTCCGGCTCTCCTGTGTGTGTCCCGAGGGCTCCAGTGTGGTGCAGCCTGTGCCCTGGGGGCTGCAGGGCCTTGCGCGGGCTGCGCGTGTCACGGGGGCTCCACTATGGCACAGCCTTGGGCAGGCCGTGTGTCCCCTGGGGGCTGCACAGCCTCTGGGGCCTGTGCGTGCCCTGAGGGCTCTGCTGTGGCGCCGCCTCGGGGGCCCTGCGTCTCCCCGGGGCCCTGCGTGTCCCCGTGGGGCTGCGCGGCCTGGGGCGGGCCGCGCGTGCCGCGAGGGCTCCGCGCACCACGCGCAGGCAGGACTGCGGCCAGCGCCGGCGGGCCAGGCCAGGCCGGGCGACTCGCGTGTCAGCCAAGCATGTGGGAGAGTTAGTAAACAAAAGCGAACGCCTGCACTGCCCCGCTGCGCTGCGCGGCCGGCGGAGGAGGAGCCGCCTGGCTTTGTTTGAACTGGAAGGGCTGCAAGTTGTAAAGGAGGGGGGAGCCATTCAGCCTGTTAAATAAATAAATAAGTCGGATTTAACCCAAAGATGGGATAGTTCAGCCAATGGTTCTCCACAGCCTGACCCTGGGGTAGGCCTTGGCTTTTGGATCTGTTAAGCGATTCTTTTTTGTTTGCCAGGGAAACTGAATACTGAGCCACAAGTTGGTGTCCAAGGCACTGTTCCTCATGGGGTTTGTTGCTGTGCCTGGTCCCTTCCCTCCCAGCCCTACATGGAGGATTTCCTTTGGCTTTTGGCACAGATCTCATGTGTAGAAGCCCCTCTGTCCTGCGTGCAGTGGCTCTTCCCAGCTTGTTGCTGAAGAAGCAGTCTGCCCCTGGAGACACATGAACTGGATTACAGTGCATTGTGGTTTGGAAAGGGTAATCTCGGAGACATGGAAAACCGGGCTGTCATTTGTCCTGCTGTGAAACTAATCTCAGAAGTTGGTGCCCCATTCCAGCTTGTCTCGAACATTTGGTTAAAACCAAGTGTTTCCAGAGTGGTGTCTGGAATCAAATTTAGAATACCACAAAGTTAGTCACACCAGTGTGGTCTTGTGAAGTCCTGATAGAGAGCAAGCCCAGTTCTCAGCAGGCTTTGCCTCGTTTTGGAGCCTACGAAATGTTTTATCTTTGAACCTGTGAATAGAAAGAGTATCTGCTACTTCAGCCAGAGTTCAGAGGGGTTTACAATTTTGGATTAATGCAGCCAGCCAGCACAAGAGTTGCCTCACACGCCTCTTGAGTTCTGCAAGGCTCTCCAGCAGTTCAGGCATGGCACCTGCCTTGCTGCAGCAGTAGGGTTGTGTTGAATGAAGACTGCTAGTTATTCTACACCTCTGGCTTCGAGAGGAACCGAGCAGGCAGTAGCTACTGAGTCTGACATCACCAAGTTGTCGTTGGACCCAGCTGTACACCCAGTCTAACCCCATCCCACATCGGGAACCCTGGAGAGTCACTGTTATCTCTTCCCTGGGCACCCTGAGCTGTGTGGTATTTATTTTGTGGTTCTTGGCCATACAAAAGATTTTTGGGTATGTATCCGTAAGAACAAGAAAGTTGGCCGCACCTATGCTTACTTTTGGCATGTACACAATTTTCAAGGTTTCATTTCCTATTAATATATTAAACAGAATACAGTAACTTAAAACCTGGCATTTTTATTCTTAGCACAGTTCTAGAACAATAATGCAACCTTGCCCAGTGCTCTGCAGATGTAATCTTAAAGGTGCTGAATTTACTATTGGAGAGACTTGAGCAAAGCTCTGCATTGTCAAGCAGCAGTTAGTCCATTTTGCAAAGAGCTCCACAGAATGACATGGGGATCCCCCATCCATGTGGGACCCATGCAGCAATTTAATACCTCTTGCCAGGAGCTCCTCTAACAGGTAGTATTCCCTGCACAGCACTTTACTCACCGTTCACATAGAAAACAAAGGTGGAGCCAAACCGAGCTTCCCGAAGGAGAATCTTGTACCAGCCGTGTTGTGCTTGAGTTGGAACAAGTATGGCAAGGGGCAGAAGGCCGGTCTTGCCGTGGGCTCTGCGTGCCCGTTGTCTGAAGTGCTTGCTATATCCTAGCCTATAGCTGATCCTAAAGATGTGCTCTGTGGTTATGGGAGGTGGAGCTGAGCTTACAGTATGTGGTCAGGCAGCTGCAACTTGCTGCCTCTGCCCTACTTGACAAGGGCATCGGCCAAGTGCTTGAGCTCCTCCTTAGGCTCTGAGTGCATGTGAGTTCCCATGCCTTGAGACGGGGCTTTACCTTGTGCTGACCTGAGAATGTATTTTGTGATCAGCTGTACTGCTAGCTGGGACATGAATGGAGAACTAGACAGGGGCTGTAGTGCCAGACTCCTATAGGAGCACATAGGATATATGAGTGAGGTGAATCAGGCTGTACATTAGTATCACACTCCTTAGTTTAGCTTGCTCCATTGAGGCAGTGAAACACTACAGATTTTCTTTTCAAAATAACATAACTCTCTCTAAGCAGGCTGCAGATTTGAACGGCCAGTTTTATCAAATCTCTTTGCAATGGTAAGATTGCTTCACGGGGGATAATATTGTCCCTTTAAGAGCTAAGGAGTGGTAGCCTTGAACAGTTCTGGGCTGGTGTCCAAGCGGAGCCACTGACTTGCTGTATGACCTCAGACAAGTCTCTTGACCTCCTTGTGCTTCAGTCAACCCATCTGGAAAGCTTGGTTTAAAAAAAGCTGAGGCTCAATAAGAACCAGATGCTGAATCAGAGCAGAGCTTTCTTGAGTAAATAAGTGCATTACAAACAACAACAAAGCCCCTTTCCAGCACATCAGGAATCCTGCAGTTGATTTAGATATGCTGACCATGCTCAAAAAGTAACCATGAGTCTAGCTATAGAAAACTGTTTGTTTTGGGAAATTCCCTATTCTGTTCAACAAATAAGCCCCTTATAGCCATTCTGTGACGGGTCCAAGCAGCATGCAGGGTCTGAATGCCTAAGTTTACATCAGGTGTGGACAGACTACTAGAAATGTACCCATTTGCTTTAAGTTAATGACACTGAAAATGTCCGGGAGGAAAAGTTACTTTCCTCTGAAAGTGAAACTCGTTACATTTTGCATATTTTTTCCCCTCTGTATCTCATGAGAATTACTGAGGTCTCCTCTGCGATGCCTCTGCTTATGCAACAGTGCCAGTGTCTATGTTGTCAAAGAGTTCTCAGTGTGGGGCAATGGGTGCACAGCACTGTGTGCAAGTTGTTTATCCCAAAATCCATCAGGCGTTCTCCATGCTAGGCACTCAGGGCATCCAGGGAATTTTGTGGTAAAGCTTTTTAGCTGGAATGGTTTGCTGGAAAATGTACTTTATGATGACTTTTTTTTTCCCTTAAAAAAAAAAGATTCACAAATTATCCTGCAGCTGAACCTATCACAGCAGCAACTCCTAGCTTTGTACCAGCAGCCTCCTTGAGCCTAGTTAAACGCTTTCATCCTCTTATTTCCTGCATTGGTAAGTGCAATACAGCAAGATC